ACTTTTGACATTGATGAAATGTTTTCCATGTCCAAATATTTCAGACGACGGAATCGCCCTTTTAGCAGACCTATGGTTTGTTCTACCACAACTCTGATAGAACTGTGTCTTCTGTTAAAATTTTTCTGTTTTACAGTAAGATTACCATAATCTTTATATGGTACAATTAAAAATGTATCTAATGGATACGCTGAATCTCCAAGTAAATAATACTTATCTCCTAAATACCTTGAAGATTCGTTTAAAAACCTATTATAAATAGGGCTCTGCTGCCAAACCCGAGAATCATTGGCACTACCAGGCCAACCAACAAATGCATCAATAATTCGCATTTCAGAATCACAAATTATTTGCAACAGGATAGAGTGCCTTCCTTTCCTGTTGTAATAACTCTGGCTGTCTTCCTTTGGAGCTTTTATATATATGTGTGTTCCATCAACACACCCAATTACTCCAGGCAATGAAACAGAACGTAATTCTTCAAACTTAAAAACTGTTCTTTCCAAGTTATCATTTGGCCATGTAATAAACTTGCCAATCATACGACACATTTTTTGGCAGAAGTCTATAAAGATTGTGTGTGCATGACCTTTATTGACACCAAATCTGTCTCCAATACCTCTAAATGATTCTTGGTTAGCAAGAGTCCAAATACTCAATAATACTTCCTTTGTAGAAGAAATAAGAGGTCGTCCTTTTTTTACTTTCATTTCTCTCTTTGAATTTAATAATTTTATAACTTCCTATAAAAAATAAACGCATTATCAGTTAATTTAGAAATTAATAGAAAATTTAGCTTATTTTAAGTTAAAAACTTACTTCTGTTGAACTTTTTGTGAGTCTAAAATGAGATTTGAAGTCATCCATAGAATATGAAGGTACGACCTCTTCAACGTAATTTCGTATCTTCTGTCGCTTAGATTTTTTACGTTCATTGGAAACAGCGATGCCAACCATTAAATTTTCATACCTCCTTTTTTTATTCTCTTGTAATTCTTTAAATAATATGTTGCTTTCTAAAACTGAAATCAGTGAACAAGGGACAGCGTCCATTTTGCTTCAGCGATAAGCGTTTGTAAAATGCCCTGCAGCGACATGCAGCGGTTGCTGCTCATGACATCATTTATGCTACATTTTTGCTGCATAAAAAAACGTAGCTCTACCCTTTTCTGTCCTCACTTGCCGGAATCTGAGCCCAAACTTGCTTCTTCCTGGTTCTCCTGGCTTCCCTTGAGTCTCGTTTCTCCTTTGTTTTCTTTGCCATTTCTTAACATCGGTAATCCCACCCAAGGGAAAAAGGATTAGAGAGGAAAATCATAGAAAAATTAGAACAATAGGACAAAAAAAAATATTAAGCCTAACTTAAAGTAATAATTATATGAATATAATATTATGGCTGATGGCCACAAAAGTTTGACAGTTCTGAACAATGCTGAGCAATGGTAAAAATTTGTTAGAAACGACATAATGTATGACATGTTATTCACTGTTTTTTCACTTTTGCCAGTGATTTGCTCTCAGTGCAAATTAAGCTTAAGAAAAGTTGACTCCCAAAGTAATTACATTTTATCTGTATTACTTAATAAATATCAATAACATTTTTAGTTCAAATTTTGGATAATTTGAATAAGTTTACATTCTTTTGAACTTCAAAGTAACTGGGTTTGACTGTTTTACATTTGGCATGGAGTTTAACATACTATTTGTCTATCTTACAATATTTTCTGTCATATAAATGTTATACTGGTCTTATAAAGTGTAATACTATGGTGTAATTGCGACAAACTAAAATGGGAACAATTAGTACAGACCGAGAGCAAATCTCTCGTTGCTCTGACTACACGAAAGAAAAAACTGTCGGACATCACCTCGTGTATGGGGTGTCGCTCACCCTCTGCGTTGTCGACACAGAAGTTTCCAATAAACTAATACTTAGTTGTTAACATTGTAATTTAAAATAATTTTAATCTTCAATTGAAGCAAATAATTAATTTTCTTGTAAAGTGTAGAAGAATTGGGAATTGTGATGAGATTTGCTTGATTACAATCCTTGGAAAATGCCTGATTTTTCTGATTTCCTGGTTACAATTAATCGACCCGTCCACAATTGTCGTATAAACATTACATTATAGAAAAGGAATTTTGCACTACTAAAACATCTGTTGACAAGAAACGAAAATATAAATTGAAATGATTTAAATTATTATTAAATATATAATAATAATTTGCTAAATTTGGCTAGGAGTAAATATTAATTGTTCAATTTTTTTTTAATTTCAGAATAAAAATGACGAAACGAGCATGTCAACAGAGGTGAAGAATTCTGATGATCAAAGTTGTGTCTGTAAGAATTCACCCGATGAAAATCAAAGTAATTTGGCAAAGAGCATCAAAGATCCAGTTTCAAATTTGTCGTCCGATAACAAAGCTAGTAATGAAGGTATTTGATATTTAAATTAAAATAAGAGAATGCAATTGATTTATTTTCGGTTAATATAGAATTATTACTTTGCTAATTAATACTTAATGCCAACAACTTTAACTGAAACGATGGATACATTCCAGTATGCATCAAACTGCACCAGCATACTAAAATGTCTTCTGATAGTCACTGACAAATTTGTCGGTACTGCGACTGATGCACATTGCACTTATTGGGGCACAGATACAGTGAGCTGTGATGAAGCAACACGGTCACCTCCACTGTTATATTATTAACATCATTTTTGTTACTTGCCTGTATTAATTCAAAATTATTTTTGACAAAATAAGTCTGCAAATGCTAGTATAAAACCATCATATCTACAGTGAATGTATATAGAACCATCATCTGTCATCATATTAGGTTGCCAGACCTTCCAGTAAAAGCTTATTAAACTGTTCACTGTGCATTTAACCCCGCGTCAGTTGTCGCTGAGACTGATGCATTCTGGAATGTACCCAATAAAATTTATAAATAAATTTTTATGTGATAAACAATATCCAAAATAAATAGAGAAACAAAACAAGTCAAAATAGCTAAGGTATAAACAGAGGTACACTCACTGCCAAAAGTTAAGCACGGAGTGATAAACTGCAAAAAAATCGACAAATACGGCTGTGATTGACACAAAATGTGGCAGGACAGTAGCAAATATGTTTATGCATGAAACAACACAAAGAATTACATAAAAAAAATAAAAACAATATTGAATTTTCATACAGTATAAGATGAAATCATAATTGAATCATTAACAAAACAATGTTTAAATCCAAAACAAACAAACAAAACCGACACTAATAGGNAGTTTACAAAGTATGAATTGCAAGAATATCTTGGTAACTTTGACATCTACTCTGTTGTGTGATAATTTTGTAACCATCTTAAAAAACTACTAGAAACATCTAATGACAAACGGCACCTTGATAAGTGGCAAAATTACTTCACTAGTGAAAAAGTGTGATGTGCGGTGCTACGAGTATGTGACCCTGCAAATGGAATAATACAAAAAGTACACATTAATAAGATTAACAGAGAGTATTTTATTTTCATGTCGAATAGGTTCTTGATATGATGATCCCAACGTACAAAACAATGATTTATGTACACACATGCATTGGATTTCTCCTCCCGGACAACAGGTCTAATGAAACGCAACAAATATATGTGGGGTGACTTAAATCTATTACTTATAACTAAAGAAGGAAGAGAAAAGTAGATGTTTAAGGACAGTGAGAGGGAAAGATAGAAATACCCAGGATTCCTTGGCAATCTTTGGGTGGGTTATCATCCTCAGGTCTTTCTTGGACTGTTGTCTTATCATCGTTCCTGTACACCTTTTGTATGGTATTTTCACAATATTCTTTTCAAAGTTCCTTTGTGGGAAGTATTCGTTTCTGATTCCAATGGCTTCAAGTAGTCTCCAATCCTCCGATTTCCGATCTGGAGCACTAGGCCGCGATTTTTATGCAGCGCTTTACAGCAAACACTCTGAAACCCGTTTGTAAATGCAGCGCTGCAATGTAGCGAACCGTTTTTAAATGTTTGCTGCAAGAGGTCGCTGCAGCGAAGATAAAGCAGCTTTGAACCACGCTTTATTAGCAAAGCAAAATGGATGCCTCCACATCTCAAATGTTTAACGTTGTATTATGCTACGAAGACAAACAAATGAATGTTACCGTAGACGAAAATACAATGAAAAAATTTAGTACAGGTAAATATTTTTATATTTATGTACATTCTTGAAATAATAAATTTAAATTTATCCGTTATTGGTATTGTTTAACTTGAATTAGGTTATACTGATATGATTAAATGGAATTATAGAATCAGTTTTTAATTTCAGCTAAGGAAAGACAATACCAAATAAGTGATAATCACATTGTATAAATTTAAGATGTTTAATTTTAAAAATATGCGATTTTTCAGATGAGACACTTCAAGAGAAGTTCTGCGAAGTATTCTTCTCATCAAATAATGTTGAAGGCACAGATGAGACATGTTTTATTATTCATTTAAAGCATTCTAGAGACAACTGTGGCCGTATGCCTTATTTTATGTATATATTTTTAATTGTATTTCCTTTGTTTCCTTTCTTTTTCTTTCTTCCTTTGTCTATCGCCTTCTAGAAAATTCATCCCTAATCCTTTCCTGGTAAGGTGGTGGTGACCTACTTTCAAAAACAAAGAAGAGGCGGTAGCCTGAGGGCAAAAAGGGGGACTCGAACTCACTTTCTGGCTCAGACGTTGTTGAACTAAGACGTGCGAAGACGACCTCCCGGTTGTTCTGGCAGCAACGGTAGGACAACGGAGATGAGAAGTTAGCGATCGGAAGGAGTCAGAACACATACATCAGTATAAGAATCTCCAAAAGCTTGTTTAGAAAGCCTGGGTCATTTTTTTCGACTTACTGTCTACAAGATTTAACCATTAGGCCATCACCACCAGCAGTCAAAGATCATCGGCACTGGGTACCCATTCTTTCCTATTATATCTATCCTATTGTCTATGTTTTCTTCCTCCTTTTTTTTTGTTAGTGTAAGTAGTTTTTAAGTCTTAGTCATAGTTTCACTTTTTGTTTTGTACCGCGGTAAAATATTTTGTTACGAGAGAAAAACTTAACTTCCGAAATTGTAAAAATTATCAATATAAGGAGCGTCGGAATCTCTAAAAGAATCCTGTAAAGAAAAGAGGAAAATAAACACTGGTGAAAAGGGAATATTTGTGTGTATTGTTTTCTTAACTTCTACCTGGAAGTGTAATCACCACGTGCATATCTTACACAACTATGATAAAATTATAATACCGATGTAAATATATATATTAAAAAAAAACTGTAAATAAAATCTCTTATATATATATTCACTGAAATCTCAAAATTTAAAATTTTCCACCACAGGTTCAACTGTTTCTGAAACTGTACCTGCTCAGAGTACTGAACAAAGGAAGGGTGTGAACAAGTTAGATTTTGTAAGTATTATATTTTATGAGTTTAAAAATTATAGCCAGGGGTGCACAACCTGCGGCCCGCGGGCCACATACGGCCCCCTATCAATGTTTATGCGGCCCGCGGTCGGTACAGGCCAAATCCCTTCTTTTGAAGTTTCTAAGTGTAGAACTTTTTCCCTTTCACAAAGTCATTAGCACCCAACTGTTTTATGACTTTCCCTGAGGTGAGAAATGGGGGATTGTTCTATAAATAAGTTTATTTTTAGCTAACACTTTCTGCTTTAGATATCGAATATTTTAAAATGATGTTAGAACGTCATTTCCGATGTTATCGGAAAGTTTCTATTTTGGCGGGAAATCTTCAATTTTATGCTTCGGAAAACTTGCNGGTCATCGAGTCCGATGTTGACGCTATAAAAAGGCGACAGTTCGACACACCGGATATACGTCACTCTCGTCTAAGTTTGACTTGGGAATTTTTTTGTTCAATAATAAATGTGAATTCTTCTTCCTGGAAAAAATAAGACATTCCCTGAAAATAAGACCTAGAGCATTTTTCAGAGCAAAAATTAATATAAGACACTGTCTTATTTTCGGGGAAACAAGGTAGGACTTGCTAATTTCTCAACTATTCCCTAATCCCATCATATCCTGACTAAAAACAAATTTTCAGGATATTTTAGGTTTATATTCTCTTACACTGTTGTTTTTTGTATGATATAATTACCTGAATTTTGAATTTAGATGATTAAATTGGGAGGAGATAAATCTAAATCTACCATAGTTACACTTTAATTAATTATCTCTTAATATATTTCTCACACTATCTTTCAATGTTATCCAGTCAACAACTTTTGTCATTTTACTTGATTTTTACATAATAATTATTGAAATGAAAATATTTTTTGAATATAGTAAGAAATAAACTACTAAATTTTTGTCTTTTATAATTTTGTCAGTGAGATTAATTTAAAAATCATAAAACATAAAAGGAAAGTATATTTTAGTAAAATAGAAATTAATGTACTATCGTTAAAAAAAATTTGTAAATATCCATGTGTTAGCACATCCTTCATAGCTTACAGTAAATTAGTTTTTATTGTAATTAGTTTCCAAATGGGTTTGTTACTTTTAATTAAAATTATTTTCAAATTCAAAGAAAACATGTTCGACGCATTCGGTATTCGCATTGTACTGGTCAAAAGCCTGAAGACGACCATGATTATGGACAATAGATTTTAATTAAAATTTGTTGTTACTGGGATATAATAAAGTTTTCGTGTTGATTTGTATATTACTTTTCTGAGACTTACAGTATTTAAAAAAAAGGAATCAAACTCTCTATTACAGTAAGCTTCATTGTTGATTCCTTTCTTTTTGTACAGGACTGAATAGGAAATGTAATTTTTCCTTGGGTCAGGAGAAAACTTAGGGGCCCTTACAAAATTAATGCCATTTTTACTAACAGAAAATAAATCTCTAAAACTGTTTTTTTTTTTATAAAGCATTATTGTGTTTAATTTATTCAAAAAATGGCAAGAGAACTCTATTCTCA